AGAAGCGGATAAAAAGAAGGGCTGAAAATTTCCTCAGCATACATTCCGGTCTGTTTGCATTAGTCATAATATAATTCCTAACTACAGAGGCATAATCAAGCTTTGATCTTACTAAGGTAAAACATAACATAGATATTCAAGGAAGGAAAATGAAAAGGTTAAAATGCGAACAAAAACCAACTCAATAAGCCTTGACCTTCCTGCAGAATTTTTCGCTAGCTTCTCGAAACTTTCTCGGTATTTCGCAAGTCTCCCTAGGGGGATCGGCCCGTGGCAACGGTCCAAAGGTACACATTACAGTATAAACGAGAGAACCCCAGCACACATCCTGAGTACAGTATCATTCGAACCCCTAAAGTCCCTTGGTTCGGTGTTTAAGCGCACAATTTTAAGACGGTTGAGAGACAGAGCGCATATTTGTAACCAAATGAGAAAATCACCAGCGAGGAATCTGGAGGAAATTACGAAAATTCAATAGGACTTTTGTATCCCAATTCATAGAAACATGCCCAAAAGACAAACCTCGACATCTTCGCAATGAGAATATCAAATTTTATATATGACCCAATTGCTACCAGAACTTACTTGGGTCTGGGTCGTCAACGTAGGTCACCCTGAGTGCTGCAGCCATGGGGATAGCCAATGCTGTTGCTAAGCACCATATTGTAGCGATGATAAGTTTCGCCTTTGTCTTCGAGGGGCGGGCGCTGGAAATAACAAAACATTATGAATTCCTTGAAACAAACAAGCAGATGTCTTTAGAAACACCAAAAGAAAGAGGGTGCTGTGAATAAAATTTGAGGTTCATAGAGGCTGTCTCCTAGTTTGTACTCTGGTAGAAGTTCACTAACGTCCAGAGGTCCTTGCTGCCGCCATCATTAGAGTGATGAGTAGGCCCTGATGAAGCGCTGGTAAACTTCTACCGGACTTCACGGCATTACAACCCAAAAAATAGTCATTTTTTGTGCAAAGCTCTTGTCAAATTCTGGCAATAAAGTAGTTAATGCGGTTGCCTCAACATTTTTTACTATGAAAAACTTAAAATTGCATTATTTTTATTGTGAAACGCTTAGGTAAAATATTATTGTACAAAAAGTTTTAGGATTTTAATTTAAAAACCGTCAGTGTAAAAATGTTCTGTGGTCCCTCTGGCTCATTTACAATTTTATTTGATTATTGTTGTACAGGAAATTTTTATTGTTATGTCTTGTTTCGTCGACTACAGCTTTGAAGGTGATTATATTTGTAAGTCCATCTCTATCCAACGTAAACAATTCAGTGCTTTCATAAAATTTCTTTAAAAGAGGAGAATATTATTGAAAATGTAGCCTTTTTCCGTTTTCAGATTTATGATTTTACATGTGTTTCACTTGAGATGATGTTGGGAATTTCTTGACTTTTTTGAACATTAAGTTCTTAAGTAAGACAATATCACTCATGGCATTATAGAGTTTTTTAAAACATTCGAGTATCTTAACTTATTCCGGAATCTGTTAACGTACCAACTTTTTTGATTCTAGTGAAAAGTAGAGGCTTGAAACTTCAGTCTTCCTTAGAATATATAGAACAGACTACAAACGTTTCCTGAATAAAAGTATCCACTCACTGTGCAAAAAAGGCACGAGAAATTTGTTAGCTTTCGACGCCATTCCAGCAAAAGGGAAGGCACAGACTTGCTATAAATCGCCACGCTATCCATTACCTTACGTTGGACTGCAACTACAAAGGAACTTTGAATTATTCAGAAGTTCGAAACATCTAGCCGAATTATAATATAAAACTCCTCTGTCTTCTTCGCTAATAATTCTTTATCATCACTGAAACAGAGAACAGTTTATGAAACTAACTTTGCTTTTAGCATATTTATATTGTAAAATAAGAAAAGATAATGAATGCATTCAATTTGTTCTTCAAATATTCACTGCCTAAACTTCAATTCTCTTTCACTAATGCAGTAGTATTTCACGACAATAGAATTATTATGTTATTAATTATTCCATCTATTCACCACTTTATAGGGTATTCACTTCTATGTACCCGAGACAAACCTTGCTCCTCAAGTACATAGTGCAGCAGCTATTTAAGGAATAAATTTTGTTTTTAATACTTACTACATGTATTATATAGTTTTATTGTGAGGGATGACTATATTTTAAGACAGCGTCTTTCGAATGATGTATGAAGATCATAAAATGTCAGTTTTATGCAGTTCCCTGATGTTATGTTCCCCCAGAACGTTGGCCAAATATTTTCTAAGTGACTTGGAGATAGTTCCAGTTGCTCCTATAATTATTGGAGTTACTTTTGCTTTCACTTTCCATATTCTCTGTATTTCAAGATCCCCTCCACTTTCTTCTTAATCACATTCCTGTCAGTCGGTACTGCTAAATCAATTAAGAGGCAAGTTCTATTTATGTTTCGGAATTATTATTATTAGTATTAGTATTAGTACTAATATTACTATAAAAGAATTACTTTTCTCATATTTTATAATAGTCATGCTACTTTTCAATTTATTAGATAGTAATTTTATTCATTATATATTTTCATTTTTCACTTCTTAATCACATCTGTGATCATTTAAATTATATATACTATGAAGATTGCTGTTTTCTGGGTTCTAATGCCGTGTGGTATGGCAGAATTTTATCATCAGGGCGATGAGTCATTGCTTTGATGATGAAGGCAGCAGAACCTCTGGAACTTTGGTAAAATTATACCATATTACGCGGCGCTACAAACCCGTAGACAGCCATGTTCGTACTCACCACCGTTAGAAACTCAAATCCTACTTATATAAACTACCCTGATTTTTCTTTTTTATTTATTTGTACGTGTGTGTGTGTTTATTTTCCCTGCCTCTTTTATTTTTCCTCTTTTCTTAGCCCGTGTTTACTTTGCAATTGGCCATTGTAGTGTTGATTCAGCACGTAAATAAATAAAGAATTGGTATCAAGAATTAGTGTGAATTATTATACAGAGTGAGTCAGAAGTATATTTACAAACTTCGTGTGCATGTTCCAGGATCAAAAATAGGAGAAAAATGTTCCTATGAACATGGGGTCGCAAATGTTTCATTTTTGAAATAATAGCCAAAAATAAGTTTCAATGAATTTACTTTATATCAAAGTGAATCCAGCTTCCAGCAAAGATTTTCAATTAACGTTTGGGCAGGAATTGTTGGCGACATGCTTATTGGTCCACACAAGCTTCCATCAAGTCTAAGAGGACCTTCATATCGGCGATTCTTAAGAAAACGCTTGCCACGTCTCCTTCAAGATGTACCACTGAATACAAGAAGACAAATGTGGTTTATGCACGACGGAGCCCCAGCACACTTCTCCCATCGCGTCAGAGACCATCTTGATGAGCAGTACCCTCAGCGATGGATTGGGCGTGGTGGCCCAGTAGCATGGCCACCGAGGTCACTGGACCTGACTCCATTGGACTTTCATCTGTGGTGTCACTTGAAGTCCGTCGTTTATGCAACATCCATGAACAATGAAGACGCCCTATGGGAACGTGTGCAGAATGCATGCCAGATGATTTGAGGAAACCCTGATTTGTACGCACGAATTCGTCAGACTTGGGTACGTCGTGCTCGGGCATGTGTCGAGAATGCAGGAGTAACCTTTGAGTATATGTTATAAAGACACATCCCTGTCCTTATATTTGGCAATTAAGGCATACATTGAAAATTATTTTTGGCTATTATTTCGAAAATGAAACATTTGCGACCCCATGTTCATAGGAACTTTTTTTCTTATTTTTGATCCTGGACCGTGCACAAGAAGTTTGTAAACATACTTCTGACTCAACCTGTATAAACATGTTACATTAAATCATATCTTAAAGCAACTTTGTTTCGGTGTTAGCATCCTTTAATAGTTTTATGTTATCTGGAATAATAATGTAATTTTTATAATAATGTTCTTATTGCTGCTGCCACATGTATTTATTTTATGTTTTGTTTCATGTTTGTTGCAGTGCACTGAAGTAAATAATTTAATTTAATTATATTTCTGTGACTTGTGGCGGTCTATTACACCACCACAAGCCACTAGTACGTATGGAGGTGTCTTACAGACTTCTTTCACTATTTTAAATATTCAATAAACCGTCTAAAGGATAATCATTAGATTTACATATAAGTTTAGCTGAATATGTTTGTGTTAAATGCAATGCCACTTCAATTTATAAAGTTTGCTGCAGTAAATAAAATGACAAAAGGTTGCTTTTACATAAAAACATGTCTCGTTTTAAAGTATAAATAACTAAGGTATTTTCGAAGACGCCCAATGAAACATTACAACTCTGTTTCGATAACTGGCATTAGATTGAGGACGACTCGATCTAATGTGCATCCAGCGATTAGTATAATTTTTATTATTTTTGGGCACGTTCTTCAAACAGCGCCATCCACATAAAGTCAAAGTTTTTTATCTGTTATACTGCACTGTTGGTAGTGCAGTAACATTTCTGTTATATTACTGCAAAAGTGCGTCAGGGTTTACTCTTGAGGCGAATGTTGTATATTCTGCTTTAAAAATCCGATTATTTTTATACGTGCTGACTCGACAGCTCAAGTGCCAATTAGAAAATAAGCATGTGTTAAAACAGAGATAAGAAGATCAGAAATAAGCAAAAGAATTGCATACAAACAAATGACTAACACACAGTCTGCATCAAACAATTTAAATAATGTAGAGGATAAAAATAATTCCAACAACCAAAGTCAAACTTATAAGAGATAAACTTATATATGCATTTATATCGAATAGAACTAATACATAGAGTGAGTCAGAAGTATGTTAACAAAATTCGTGTGCGTGTTCCTGGATCAAAAATAAGAAAAATTGTTCCTAAGAACATGGGGTCGCAAATGTTTCATTTTCGAAATAATAGCCAAAAATAATTTTCAATGTATGCCTTAATTGCCAAATATAAGGACAGGGATGTGTCTTTATAACATATACTCAAAGGTTACTCCTGCATTCTCGACACATGCCCGAGCACGACGTACCCAAGTCTGACGAATTCGTGCGTACAAATGGCCATGCTACTGGGCCATCTCGCCCAATCCATCGCTGAGGGTACTGTTCATTGAGATGATATCTGACGCGACGGGAGAAGTGTGCTGGAGTTCTGTCGTACATAAACCACATTTGTCTTCTTGTATTCAGTGGTACATCTTGAAGGAGACGTGGCAAGCGTTTTCTTAAGAATCGCCGATATGAAGGTCCTCTTAGACTTGATGGAAGCTTGTGTGGACCAATAAGCATGTCGCCAACAATTCCTGCCCAAACGTTAATTGAAAATCTTTGCTGGAAGCTGGATTCACTTTGATATAAAGTCAATGCGTTGAAACTTATTTTTGGCTATTATTTCGAAAATGAAACTATTGCAACCCCATGGTCATAGGAACATTTTTTCTTATTTTTGATCATGGAACTCATACTCACGAAATTTGTAAACATACTTCTGACTCACTCTGTATAATAAACTGATAAGTACCGTGGTTATTATAAAATATGTGAAAAACCATTTTTGGAAACATATTAAAGTTCCCGACACGCATTTAGCAGAAGGGAAATTTCAATTTAACATCCGACACTAAACGTATCTAAGCAACTCTAAAAATAACTGTTTAAAACAGATAAAAACAAAATGTAAAACCAAGACTAACTTGGATAAGGAAAAGTGCATC